TTAATGAAATTTGGCAGATTATCAGTAAACATTACAATTCTTTCATATGTAAAATATAATATTTTTTTATCATGCAAAGTAATTTACATTTTAAGGTTAAAAATACTTTTATGCATCAGAAAATTTTCAAATTTCGCATGCGAAATCTTTATAATGTCCAGATAGTTATCAGATGTTTTTTAAGAAAAAACTTTATATTTTGTCTGTTATTTTCAATAATTAATCTCTGTTTGGGTTCGGTAGATTTGACAGATTTCGCAACCATCAAAAAATTAGGAAATAAATTTAGATTATGGTTCTTTCATTGTAGAATGAACACAAATTATAACATGAAAACATAAATGTTTAGACTAAATAGCTTAAATCTCATAACATTATACATTTATATATATTTATTATTTTTATTATATTGACCTTTCATTCATGCCTAGTTAACAATACAGAAGTTACAATGATGCGGCTCACGTGCACTCATGTTACCGTATCAAATAACAAAGGTGACCTTTGGTCTGTACAAAATAACTTGTCTTGGCTGTGTTTTAGTAGACTAGCATTTTGTAAATACAGTCACATTTCAATTATTATACGTTATATATGTATATAGATTATTGTTATTTTGAAACAAGTTCTTAAAGTTATTTTTCCTAAAACATAGAACAGTAAATAAATAAGTAAAGCAAACAATTTTCTCTTCTAGTTAAGACCTTTGTACTCGGTTGCTGCTTGACGAAGTTGCTAAGCCTTTAAAAATTTTGCACGTGGAAGATATGAAACAAAATTAATTTTTTTAGGTTTTTATATATACATTTGAATAACTAAAAAATCATAAATTACTAAATCAGTATCACAGAATTCCACTAAAATTTATCAAACTTAGTAACTAAGATGTATTTTTGTCTAAACAAATATGAAATTTCGAGCAGACTAAAGACACATCCTTGAAATCTTGGTTCAAAAGAAAGAAATGGTGTCCTAAGAATTTAGAATGGCTGAGAAAGCCACTAGGGGGACATTCTGAGCTTTTGATAGGTTATTCATGTCATATATAGAAGTAAGTATATATATAAGGGAGCATTTCTGAAAAATAGAAATAGAGAATATATATTCTAGTTTGTCAATATCAGTAATTTGAGTTTCTAATTCGTATGAAACTATAGACTTAGTATGTTGACTTCACAAACACCTAATTTGAACCAGTGCTGCATTCAACATACCACGTGACACACAAAAACTCGATGTTTATCCATGTTTTTTAATATTTACTTTTAAATTAACAAATTGAGCAATGTATAATACCAAAATTTTAATTATAATCTACAGTTTGATACTA